AAAAAAAACAATAAACAGTGGCCGTACCTGCACATGGGCAAATGCAAATGAACCAGTGACAGAAAGAGTGAAGTAAAATGAAAGTATCAACAGATAAACACAGAAAAGCTTCCCGTAGATACCGGATTTCGAACTAGAGAACAAGAGTAAGGTTCAAAATGTAAAAATCGTGGTTGCCGTGTTGTTACCTCATCGGTGTGATAAGCGAAGGAATACTATGGTGACACATGAACGCATAGACAGCAACACCAAAGAGAGAGCCGAATCCATGAATGTTAGCAGCAGGAGGATTCCCGGCTGTACCGTTGGCAAGCATTTGTGCCGAAGCAAGGAAAATCATGAGGATGAACGCTGAATACGAATGCGTTGCTTTTATCTCGGAAAAACAAGGCACAACGCTCAAGGCTGCTTTGCTGCGTCAGGGACCCGTCATACATCGCCGAAAAAAAAACCCAAAGGCGCCCAAAAAGGCCCAAAAGTACCCCAAAAAGCCCAAAAGCGCCAGAAAGAACCGGGCGCCCCTTTTGCGCACAAGTAAAATACGTATTTTGCTTCATTCTCCGTCGCCTGCACATAGGAATAATGTCAGAATTCTACCAAAGAGGCTTATGCAAGATGAATTTGGGTTACGCAGCTCGTGAGCCCTTGGCATCAGATCCTAGAATAAAGAGAAGTCTGTACTAAAAGAGCTAGACAGGACGAATCAAATAATCATGATCATAACACTACAAAGACACAATAATTGAGCTGCATGAAAAGCTAAAAAACTATGCAGTTTCCAGAAATTGCAGCTGTTAAGATAAATTGAAACTCTCTTTCATCCGACTTGGAAGTATTGGTAGAATTCTGACATTATTCTGAGATGCAGATGACAGAAAGTGAAGCAAAATACGTAATTGTCAGGCAGTGGCCATACTTCGCTCAAAAGCGCCCAGAAGCGCTCAAAAGCGCTCAAAAGCGCCCCAAAAGCGCGAAAGCTCCCAAAAGCGCCCAAAAGCGCTCAAAAGCGCCCAAAAGCG